TTAACCAAATTTTTAGAAATAGGTATCAACCAGGACGTCAACCATCCACATGATTTGATGCCAAAGTTTTGGGCAAGATAGCTAAGACAAAGGGGGATATAGAAGTTTAAAGGATTGTTGATGAGTAGGTTGTTCATGCTGTTTTAAGCTCATCTAACTGACATTTATAAAATGTTGCAAGACATAAAGGTTGGTTACCTTGTTTAGGAAATTAAGTAAACCATCTGCAAGAATTTCTGTCTTCACATGGCCTTTTCCATCTTGAGTTGATAAGTAGCCTCCAGCCATGGACGTTTGTTTGCTGAGAAACATCAGTTCACAAACCAGTTATGTTGCCGAATAATTCGATTACTTGGTCAATTTTGAAGCATGAGATCATTCAAGATGGTTAGCCAACTAACTAAACATGTTTGTAATTCTCCCACCAATTTGATATAGTATACAAACCTCTGATTAACAAGTCTAAATGTTAACTGCTTCCACAAAGATCCTCCTCTACCACCCATGAATGAAAAGCGTGCCCTACCCTGGAAAACAGAAGCTAAAGTAAGTTGCAGGGCAAATGTTTGTACTTATATTAGAGATGAAAATTGCTACAATATTTCATCATGGTGTTTAGTGAGCCATAAACTATGACACAATGTATGGAGAAGAAATTTTATTTAGAGGGCGTTTGGTAGCTTGCAACTGGAGTGGTTGCAACTCCAGTTGCATGCAACTAGGTCAACTTTGTTCAGTTACTAGCGTTTGCTTTGTTACAACTCACAATTACAGTTACAAAACAATCCTTAGTTGCAAGTTGCAACATATGACTTACGTCAAAAAAGATCACAAGTCACATTTGCAACTTAATTGCAACTGACCCAAATTTATTAAAAATCAAAATCATTACTTAATATTTAAAAATAAATTCATTAAAGATTTAAAACAGAAAATTCATTAAAGATTTAAAACAGTCTTTTTAAAAATATTATTATAATAATTTCTTCAAAAAAGTTTTAAAAATAAAGTTATTTAAAAATATTTTTCCTAAAAAATGTTTCTTCTAAAAGTAATATCTTAAGAAATATTTATAAGATAATTTTTTAAAATAATAATAAATTTTTAAAATAATAATATTTTTTTAAAATAATAATAATTTTTTAAAATATAATTACTTGAAAAAATATTATTATTCTAAAAATATAAATATTTTTGTTTAAAAAATATTATTTTCATAACATCTTATTTTTTATAAATTAATATTTTCAAAAAGTATTGAATATTTTTCGAATAATATATTATTTTCAAAAAATAATATAAATTTTTTAAAAATAATATATTTTAAATAATATATTATTTTGTAAAATAATATATTATTTTGAAAAGTAATATATTAATTTTCAAACTAATTTATTAATTCTTAAAATAATGTATTATTTTCAAAATAAGATATTATTTTTCAAAATAACAATATTTTTCAAAATAATATATTTACCTAAAATATATTATTTTTTAAAATATATTACTTTTTTGAAAATATTATCTCTAAAAAATAATATTTTTTAAAAACTATTTTTTAAGAAATATTATTTTTTGGAAAAATTCTTTAAAAACTAATTTTAAAAATATATAGAAAATAGGAAAATTTGTGTCAAGGCTCCAAATTCCAACTTTCAATGTGCCACAGCACCCCATATTTTTTTTAATGTACTGCAGCCCCTTCTTTTTGAAAAAATTGTGTTCAGGCCCCTCCATCATGATTCCAGCTCATGCCAGCGGATGATTAGACATGCCAGCTGGCTTAAATCCCAAATTTACCCTCTTCTTTGTTATGCTAGCGGATGTTAACTCTTATAGTTAACATGTTAACTATTAATAGTTAGCATGTTAACTGTAAGAGTTAACATGTTAACTATAAGAGTTAACATGTTAACATGATAACCATGACCGTTGGGCGACGGAGCGGGGGAGGGAGGCGGAGCTGGGGAGGGAGGTGGGGGAGGCGGTAGAGGAGGACTGAATGAGGAGGGGGGTAAAATCGAGATTTTAGATGGAGTTTGCATTGTAACTTGGGGAGAGGGGACTGGGCATAATTTTTTCAAAAAAATAAGGCTGCAGCATATTGTTGAAAGTTAGGGGGGCTGAGGCACATTGAAAATTAAAATTTAGGGCCTTAAATCAATTTTCCCTAAAAAATAAATTGAAAAGTATTCGTGCTTCTAAAAAATAAAGTTTTCCTTGAATACTATTATACTTTGTTAAAATATTGTTTTTAAAATTTTTCAATAATATTTTTTGAAAAATCTTTTATTTAAAAAATTTTGAAAAGACATATTTTTTGATGAAATTCATTTATGAAACTCTATTTTACCAAAAAAAATTTACAAAATTATTTTATTTTTTAAAAATAATTCTTTTAATAAACTATTACTTTAAAAATATTATCTTATGTAAATTTTTTTTAAATTTAGAAGTCAATTTACCTAATAATAAAAACAATTATTTTTAAAAAATAAATATTTTAAAAGTGTGAAAAGAATTAATAACTTTAATAATTTATTAATGCTGAAAAAATAAGTTGCATATGTAGAGTTACAAGCAAAATCAAACAGTTGTACCTGCAAGTAGCAAAATTAAAATTTTGAACCAAATAATTGCAATTGTAGTTGCATGTAAGAAGAGTTACAAGTGACTATTTGAAAAAAATATTCAACAAATTACAGTTTTTTAAAAAAATGATTTGTACCAATCAAGTCCTTTCAAGTCGCTAGATTTAACATGTAAGTACAGGTTACAATTTTGACTAAACTTGTGCATAAATATAAAGAGTACAAGTTCACATGCTCAGAAGCACGAGATTTGCAGATCTCATCTCAAAATCATCATACAATAATGAAAATAAGATGCAATGAATTCAACAGGAATTTACCTGATCAGTGGAGGAGCTATCTAACCAAAACGTGTCCTCAGCGTTCTCATCACCAAATAGGTAACAGAAAATATTGTGTGAACCCCCAACCTGACTCACCAAGCAATCAATCTTTTTCCACTGCAATCTGATATGCTTGACGTTGAAACTCTTAAGTGCAATTTGTCGATTGTTGCATATATGCAGGTGGCATTCTGTGGCTTCTTTTCTATGTACTATCTGTCTCTTCGGATGTCCTGACGATTGACATGCATAAGACACCTGCACCCTGTCAGTGAAGTTTTATTTCTCAAAGCCAATAGTTACAGAGTCAAAAAAATTAACGCCTTCCAAAAAATGTTAGAGCTTATTAATGTAATAAAAAAGGTTTTGAGTACAATATAAAAAATGTTTTTTCCTCAATTTTTATAAATAACTGCAATTTACCACAATCATGGACCTTTCTTTCTTGATGTGAGGATGACTCAACCCATAGCCAACTGTCATCTGTTTAAAATTTTCAAACATTTGCCTTCCATATCGAGTAGCAATACTTTCGGGGTGAAACTGAATGTCAAAGCAATAATTAGATGATAACCAACTAAATCAGTACACTACTAACGACCCAGTAGCATACCTGCACACCATAATGAGGCTTATCTAAGTGCTTGACTCCCATAAGAACCTTTCTTCCGTTGAAGTTATTAACATCATTCACATTTGATATTCCTGCACCAATCTAAAATACCAGTAATGAACAACTGGTTGGAGTTGATTTTCAATTCAAAAAGACACCAATGTTTAAATTAGATTCTTGGATGCTGAGAGAAAGCAGACGCACAGAGGTGGTCCATGCTACAGCAATGAGTTCCTTTGGAAGCGAGTCTGCATCAATTACAAGTGAATGATACCGCACAACCTGCAAGTGGAATGAATGCTCAATAAATTATGGAGTGGCTCATTGATGTACACATGTTAATTGTAACAATGAAAAAACAGACCTCAAATGAAAATATCAAACTGATACACAACTGATTTTGCTCAACTCAAGAAGTATAAAAATCAAAATCAGAATATATAACCTACATGGAAAGCTAATGCACTGCTTCTTTCAATTGAGGCTATTCCCTTTACACATCCAATCCTTAAAACCTTACATTTTATACAAAAGACCATTGAGTTTTGACCTCTAAGTTGGAAAGGAACAAATACACTGAATGCACCATTACCTACTACTACATTTCTGTCACATGCAATGCACATGTATAAGCTAAATAAACGATGTCTTTGATATAGAGAAATTCAAAATAAGCAAGGTTATTGTGTGTAAATATTTAATATGTATTATCGCGTTACACATATTGCAACATTTAATTTGAGTGAATTATTAAAAGCAAGGCTGTTGTATATAATGGTTAATGAGAGTCCCCGGTCTTTTCTCCAAAACAAATAACATGGTTGATGAAATTCTATAAAATAGGAGAATAGAGAAAACCTGCAATACTAAGCACACTTTTCATCTTTATATGAGCAAAGGAAATCAGACATAAGACTGAATTTCAAATTGCAAATACCACTAACGGGTTCACCTTACATATAGTAGATGGATAAAGGCCAAACAAGACAAAATTCCAAGTGTGCTACTTCTTTCAGCCCAATATGCAGTTTTCAAAAACTCGTAATGCTTTCCAATATTGCACCTTACCTACCGGTCATCTTAAGTTTATTGAGACTTCCAAATGATCCCCCCTTAAGATGTAAAATGTTGAGGTATCACAGTTTCACCACTATTCTTAACAGAAGTAACATTTTTTTCAGATTCACCATGAAAGTTAATTTTACAAAACAAAACACAGTTCTTTTAATACCACGATTCTGAAAGAAAGGACACCTTTTGCACTTCACTCTTTCTTTTTTTCTCTTCATTGCATTTAAATTTCTAAAACATTTTCAATATTTGCACTTACATACCTTAGTCCAACTGTTTGTTTGTCTATTTAATATCCCAAAGTCTTTTCTGTTAAAATGGCCTTACTAGTGTTAACAACTACAGTCAAAAGACTTAAATATGTATTATTGTTATTTGCCTATATCTCAAAGGAATTATTGAACAAAAAGCATTACACATAAGTTGTAACGGAAATATTGTTTCAACTACAAGCTAATCGGAGATTCTTTAGTGCAAAGAATATTAAAACTATTGAGTATCAGAAGTGTACAAATATTTGGAAACTTTTAGGTATCCAAATCAAGGTTTTAAATGTCGGATGTCGGATTCATGTCGGATAGCTAAAATTCATGTCGGGCAGCGGAAATCGGGGATATGTTGAGGGACATATACTAAATATCAGATTGTCATATCGGATAGATTTCTACTCAATTTTGGTCACCAAGATGAAATGCACTTGTCATGTTATAGCTTATCCTACTTGAGTTGAGTATTCATCATCAAGACACGAGTTGTTTTCCATTTCTTGAAGGGAAACATTAGAATATTACGCCAACAAATAAATAAAATACACGTTGGCAAACTAGAACTTTCGAAGTGCCTTCCATAAAATTAACATAAAGTAAAGTGCCTTGCATAAAATTGACATAAAGTGTTAAACTTTGAATTGATTTCAAGCTACGATTCAAACTTATTGTTTACATCACGCTTTTATGAATTCTCAATTTCAATTTGTAGAGACGAAGATGAACAAGAGGAGAATGCGGCGGAAAATAGAGCAATTTTTTTCTTTGCCCTAATCTATATTATATGTTATAGGGTCACTATGGGACAAAAGGCTAAAAAAAGAATTAATCAAGTTTGGCTTTTGAGTACTAAACCCATACCCCCATACTTATCAACACAAAAAAAAATCGGCCGATTTCCGATTTTTCAAGGCTGAAAATCGGCCGATATGTCCGCAATATCCCCCGACATGTCAGCCGACATTTAAAACCATGATCCAAATATAATTAAGTCATCCTTTGCATATTATCTGTTGTTAATTTGATTTATGAATTTGGTCCTTAAAAATAAAGTGGAAGACAAAGATTTACGTTTTAAATCCCAGAAGTTCAGGGTAAAGGCTTTAATGGCCATACTGCTGTATGAACTCCTATAGGGGCTTTTTTTCCCCAACCCTCAGTGGCCCATTTATAATCAAGCACAACT